TTACAAAGGCCCATATCATTAGAGCATTAGCAAAATCAAACTTTATTCTGTTTGCTCATACTACAATACGATAAAGTCAGCAATTGTTACAGAAGGATCACCTTTCTAACTAATATTCAAAATTTAGGATCCCTTTTAACTTGTATTAGAATCACAGCATCCTTTTTCATCAAAGAAACATTATTAGGAAGAGAGAGACTGTTTCTAAACAAGGTTAAACGATAAGCTACGTTCCAGCTCAAAACATGAAACTACAGTGAGATAAAGCAAACTCATTAAAACAAAATGGCATATAATCTTTTTCAAAGTAGATAAGAGCACATCCTGGGAAAAAGAAACAGCGAGCCCTTGCTCAAAGAGAGCCAAGGAAACAATTCAATCCTAGTTACATGCAACGGTTGAAATTGCAGCTTTTCTTTTTGATCACGTGGTTAGACATCAATTTTAACAGCATGTCAGTAATAGCTCACAAAAGCGACCTAACATAACAAATTAAGACATACCAACTTTTCACCAGGTTTCATTTGCGCAGCTGGTGTTGGTGGGATAATGACCTCTTCATATCCCTTATAATGCTTCCTGACAGTACCTTGGGGAAGAGCAGTAACTGCAAATGAATGGGATCCCTCACCAGATCCAATCAAATCGTCCAGCAGATTTTTCCTCTCACTCGCTTGAAGTAAAGAAGAAAATTTGGCAGCTGATATTTCATTCTCTGCCCCGTAGTCAGTTCCACGCCTATGTCGCTTTTCCTCCTTGCGTCGAAGCTTGTCAATTTGCCGTTCAGATTCTGTTTGTACAGTAACCTAAAAGAGAACAAAAATATCATGGCTTGCTGACAAACTAACCCATTTGGAAACAGAATATGGACAACACTCTTTTCCTACAAAACTTAGCAGTACCTGAGTGCCATAACTAGGCATCCGTGATTGGGATGTTGTAGACGCTTTGTCAGATTTAAGTACCAACAATCCATGACGAAATGCATCAACAAGATCCTTCCGATGCTGAAAGAGGAAAAAGAAAAACAAAACATGCTTTACAACAACAATATGGTATTGGCTTCTCCATTAATGATCTAGAATCTGGAAATCACCAAAGTATACAAATAGGTGTTGCAGAGGGGAGGAGAACCTTCAATAATATTATAACCAATATATCTCGTAAATTTGATGAGTTAGTCAACCTGCACTCACAAGGATAACCTAGCAAAGCAGTATGGTCAAAAAGAAAATACTCTCCTGGTGATTATCAGCCAGTGAAACAAAATTTAACAAGAATAGAGCACTATATCTAGAGGTCGTGACTTCAAGCTACTGAGTTTCTAGATGACCTCATATCTAGATCACCAAGAAGACAGCCGTAAATAAACTAAGGTCCATTTACAGATAGAATTCATGTTAAATTTTGAATGTAGTTATTACATTCTATTTTTTCAGAATTTCTAATCAACATACTTAAGATATTACCTAAAAATATGATTTCAGTTGTTCTACATGTCAAACCATTTAGTTTGCTTCATAGTTTTTACTAGAACTAGGATTAACCAAACCCTGAATATGCCTACCTTTAGACCGTATCAACTTTTTAAAAATATATATTTTAAATCACCTAAATATACAAATAAGTTTGGAAAATATTAAAAAATATAAAATCACCAAAATATACAAATAAGTTTTGCAACAGGGGTAGAGAAAACATTGCAAAGCCAATTAAATTCAAGAAAATAGATCAATCGTTCATATTCTTACCGATATAAGGTCTTGAACAGTTTCAAATGCACTATCTCCAACAAGGTCTAACAAATCACCAGCAATCTACACTCAAGTAAAAAATATACAAATATACATATATGTATATATGAATAAAAAGAAAAGAAACTTAAAATTAAAGAACTTCAATAATACCAAACATATGTGCTAAAAAGAGATGATAAACCTCGCAAAGGAAAGACACCGGTACATACCTCTTCCCCTGGTTTTTCTGAATCGAGTACTCGACATATAGCCATTGCCAATTCATCTTGAGAAAGCTGTGAATTACTTTCTCTAACGATACGGTCACATGCATCTCTTAACCAACTTAAATTGAAAATACCTCCATCAGAAGCAGGCTGATAATCTATTGAGTCACCCTTATCATACCATCCTTCATGATGAGAAGAAGATAGTGCATTGACTTCCTCATCTATTAATTCCTGATCCTCCAGAGAAATATCAACTATGAATCGTGCTGGTGGCTTGAAAACAAAGTCAGCACCAAATTCTAAACCATCACTTCCCCCGTTAACAAAGCTCTCTGGAACAAGTGCACCCTTGGGGTCACTAGGTTGCAAACTAGAAAGTCCCCATGCTAGAGAAGCAACCTTTTTCAGATTAGCATCTAAAACTGCATGGCCAATAAGTTTTTGCACTTCTGACCTGAATTTAAGATCACTAACTGAAATCAAAAACTTTTGCTATTTTTTACCATCTGAGTTTATGCATACACACATTAATATGGACAGCTATGTTGTAGTTTCTACTTTTATTGATCTTATCAGGCATTTAAAAATGTGAATATTTGGCACACCATTGCTTCAAAGGAAGCATCCCCGTAGACCAAGCCACACTAGCCAGGCTCACTCAAGGAGTTAATAAAGACAAAAACTTCCATTGTCTTCTTTAAACGGCAGCAATCACATGAATAACAGTTCCCTAATCTCTTTTCATCTCAGGCATTCAAATTTGTAGAACCGTTGCTTGACTAATTCATAATTTAAGCAGCAATCAATAAGTAAATGAAAACCACATTTATGTTCATTTAATTAACAATAAAAGCAGACTGAATAGGAACATGAAAAACAGAAGCTTTACTTCTTCTCAGTGACAATTCTATCAATATCATCCTCGTCTCTTAGCCTGGAAAAAAGACGGTATGAAGTAAGTGCCACCTCATGGAACTCTTCAGAAGGTACTTCCTTGTCAATTAACTCCACTATAGCCCCAACAAAGTGCTTGTATGCTTCCCGCACTTCAATAGAAGCTGCCCCACCATTGCCATCATCATGGAAACATATTTACCGAAAGCCATGTATCAATTCGTATGAACAATTATCTTATAGCAGGTGATATAAAACTTAAAATAATACCTTCTTCCCACCGATGAACTATATTCCTTGCAAGCTCTGATTCATCAAGTGAGTTTACATGTCTAAACCACCAAAATTAAAATATTAATTCCACAAGAAGATTGAATCCAGAATATCCAATTTCAAGAGACTTTGTATCAAGCTAACACTTGACTTCTAATTGAAAAAAATATATATTAAACAAGACTTGATCATTTCAAGTTAAGGTTAACTTCAAAATAACACAAATGTTCAGTTACGTGCCTTACTTTTCTTTATCTTAAATAAAAAATGAACAGTTGATCAAAAAGATGAATCCAGATAGTCAAGAGACAAATTCAGTACTGGAGTTTGTTTCCTGAGTCCCCAAACAGCAAATACGTGACCAATGATTGCTTTAAAACCTCTCTTCCCAAGCTCCCATGCTTTACTATAATTAACTCCCCACCAAATTCATTCCATTACTTAGAAAACATGAGGACAGAAAAGAAAAGCCCGGTGAAACGGATGAAAAAAAAATTACAAAAAATTCATATTTACTTGCGAGACTTGTCTTGATTTTGAAGGATGTTTTTGCGGCGGAGATATGCATCGTCGACGTCGAACGGCTCTCTCAATGAGTTGGTCAATCGAGGGAGCTGAACCAGCATTTCTGCCCTTTCAGTGTTTGTGTTGCTCTGCCTTCATTCCTTCGTCGGGTCTCCTTATGAGCGCAGTAGGCAGGTCTCTTAGTATTTTGCGCCCATCAACTGGCAGCAAAATGAAAGAGTTCGACCAGAATGCAATACGACTCTCAACCGGGTTCGGATATTGGGAGTCTGAACCGGTATGCTTGCTCTGAAAACCGACCGATCCTTTTTCTATAGAATATTCAAAATTGTAATGTTTAAATATAAGTCTTTAAATAACTCTATTAAACACATATTTTTTAGCATTATTAAAAAATTTCCTGTATGTTTTTTTATTTTATTAAGTGCATGTTTTTTCCAATTTCTAATTTTTTTTTATTGTCAAAAAATAAAAAGTAACATCTATTTGATTTATAATAAATATAAAATTAAAAAGGTAAAAATAATCATTTTTCTTATATATAACTCAGCCTGATAAGTTATAATTTTGACTACTATATTTGGTAACTATATGCTTTCCTGATATATTAGTTTAATATTTCAGAAAATAAATTCTTATGTTAATATTTATATTTATTATAAATTAAATAATTTTTATTTTAAATTTAAATAATACTTAATATAAATATTTTTATTAAAAATAGAAAATCTTAATTAAAATAGCTTCAATTATTAAAACAATAAAAAATATTTAATATAATTAAAATAATCGTAATAATTAATCTCTATTGTTAATCATTTTTTATTGTATACATTTTAGATATTTATTATTAATTTTATGACATGACCTATAACAACTCGAATGCATGGAGGGAAGTCACAAGTATCCATCTATATTAGTTAATCTAGTTTTCAATTCATTTGGATAAACATAACAAAATTTCATTCCAATAAAAATACCAACATCTCTTACAAACAAATAAGATATTTAATCATAAAGTGAAATTTACAAATTCTAATAATTTATATAGAAATTCAAAGTTCGAAATACTAAGTTAATAGAGATAGATGTCCACAAAAATCTTGTACTTCAATCCTAGTCTTTTACTATTTCAAGTCTTCCTATTTCGGCTCCTAACTCTCCTATTTCGAACAAAAAAAATGAATTGGGATGACTACACATACTCAGCAATAATAATTAACATATGAATCTACAAAAGTAATTGAGTATATATGAACCCTTTTTTCTCCCTTCTAATATTGTTCTCATGTTTGCATCCCTATAGGTTTTATTCGAGTAAAGAATAATTTCATCCTATTTATCTTATACGGTTACTTACTATTTAATTCTTAATTGTTTAGTCCTAATATATTATATAGATGATATTTTATAAGTATTTTGAATATCCCTAAGCTTATCACTTTCTGACTATTATGTCATACTATCCACCATATATTTAATGGTACTGCTGCTCCATATGCTATCTTACTTACATATTTATAAGTAAATGTATATTATCATTTACCATGAGGTACGGTATAATATAATATAATTGGTTATTATATTCATACAAAAAATTTATACAATCATATTTACAATACAATATGATACAATATAATTACAAATTCAATATTATCGTATTTATAGTATAACACGACACGATATGATATAATATAATCACATTTTCAATACGATATGATACGTTGTTTTACAATTCATAAATTACCATTTCATCTTATTATCTCAATTATATTTATGACATTTTAATCTTTGAAATTTCATCGTAGGCAGTCATTTTAATTTTTATCAAATAAAGCAACAAAGATCATCACTATTAATGTGGCATCGATATGATACGTTCAACATGAACACAATACGATACGATACGATACGATATAATAGTTAGCCCACAGAATAGGGTTCGCTATCACTTTGATCCTTAAACTAAGTACACTTCCCGATTAACTCCATATAAATCTTTGCCCAATATCTAGAATTAAGCTCTATAATCTAGTTCGTCCTACTATTTCTTGAAGACAAAAATAAATTTTTTAAATTACCATTGAACTACTTAACCCATTCTAATATTTTATCAAATTCCCTTCTATGTTATTTTATTTTCTTATTGGATAAAATATACACATGTTCGAAAACCCATCTATTTAACCTGATTACTTAACTTTTATGTATTTCCTTCACCATTTCTCTTATGCTCATTTATGTCCCAAATCCATCTATTAGGGTCTTTAAGTATTTTTCCTTGCCCCATAAGCCCATTGTTTTTATTATTATTAAATATTATCATTATTGTGTTTTGTCTTGCTTTTATTTGACTATTTAACCTTTTTACTAATTTTCCTTCTATTAGGCTCCTGTTAGCTGACCCAATATATTATAAACTAGTTTTTGATTGTTCTAACCCAATATATTATAAACTAGTTTTTGATACTACTTTTTCTATTTTTTTTCCTTTTTTGTGTAATTTTTCTTTGTTTTTTTCTTTTTCTAAACCTTTTATTTTTACCAACCCATTTAGGGTTTATGAATGGCCCATTTCCCTCTTTAACAGGCCCAGTGAATGGTTGGGCCTATGACCTTACTGGATTTTATTTTTCTTCATGAATTGGGCTACTTAATTATATTGATTTGGCCCACAAAGTGGTTTGGCCTCCTAACCACCTATATTCGGGTCACTAATTGGTTTGGATCCTTAAATTACACCAACTCGACCCCCCTTTCACTCTGTTTGAGCTCATAAGTCATTACAGGTTGGCCCATTGAATTTTCAACCTACCATGGACTCTAATCGTCTCTCTCAACTCCTTCAACCTCTCTATTTCCTCAATTATCCCATATCCCATGCACACCAATGTGTTAATCGTTATAGAGACAATATAAATTAAATGATATTAAACTTATATTTTACATAAATTATTTATTTAATGATTATGGGCATTCATATACAAATTAAGCTTATGAATCTGGGAATTTAAGTGTAAATTATTCTTACACTTATTGAGAGCTTAGACAAGGTAAGGGACTTGCGGTTTGGCTCTCTCTTCTTCACCTATGTTGCACATAAACGCATAAAAATTACACCCGAATTTGTTGTGGGAATAATCTTAAACTAAGGGGTCTTTGTTCGAATTTAAGGGAGAAAATACAAAATAAAAATTAAAGGAAACTACCTCTTATAGTAGTGGTGCCTGCAACTGTCGAAGGAGATGTTTTAGTTTTTGGATTCACTCATTATTCTCCCTTCTCCCCCTGACACTAGATTATCAATTAGGGTTTCAATTTTGTGTTTTTTTAAACCACTTCCCAATTTATAATGGCCATGATTCAATTGCGGTCGTTAAATTGGGAGGCGCAATCAAAACCGTTGGATTTAAGTCTTCCTCCCTTAGTCTTCTGCTCTACCACGGAATGCTTGCATGGCACGATCTCATCCATTCTCTTGGTGACAACATGTTTCTAACGTATTTTTATGTGTGTGACTTCTAGATTAGTTTCCCTAGGACACCTCAGCTGCTGAGGTATCAGGGGCTTTCAAATTTTACCATTCTGCCTGTTCCTCATTTGTTTCCAATTTAGTCAATGTTATTGGTTATTTAACTTTTTCTTTTATATAATATTTTATATTTGTCTTTAAAAGATTTTATTCAATATAAATTTATTGTGCATTTTTTTTTTCATTTGAACATTTATATATCAGGTTATTACATGATTAATAAAATATAGTTTTATATTTTAAAATAAAAATATTTTATAACAAAAATTTTCAATTGCTATACTATTTTTAAAATAAATAATTTTTAGTAATGATAAAAGGAAACCTTACTCAATCAATTTTTTTTTAGGTTTTCAATCATATTTAGTTAAATATTATTTAGTTAATTCAATAAGTATAGTAAATGTTTTTACTGAGTAATATTTCACGAAACAACCCATATTTTCAGAAGACTTATGGGTGTCCAACATACTAAGTACTAAAATATGCAATGTCAACTTCATTCCAAGGAAAATAAAACATCCTTACAACCAAACACTTACACTTTAACATCAAAGAGAACTATAGAATCTAAAAGTAATTATTTGAAATATCACTTTACTCACTGAATGAGATAACTTTTCAAGGCTAGAAATATTGAGGTCACACTAACTGTAGAGGGTATAATATTCATAAGCTTTGGGGTCCCATCATTGCTCTAACTGATCTTGAACTTGTTATTGGATTCCTGTTTGATAAGATATAAAAGAGTGAGCTACACACACTTAGTAAGAAATAATTAACAAATTAACCTACAAACTGTATTTAATATAAGTGGGTCTTCCCTATCATATCATAAGTGAGTTTATCCCACAATGTTAATTAATTTTCTATGATTATCTCTATCAAAAGTTCATAATCACATCAATGTCCTTTTCACACATTTCTCCTTAACATTGTTTCTGTTTTTTTTCTTTTGACTTGTCAAACATGACGATCCAATCGTCCTGTTAATAACTAAGATAATGTAAATATATTAACATTTACAAGTTTTAATTCCTCATATTCATGCTATAATTATTATTCTCTTTGTTTTCTAAGAAATACCATAATGTCAATTTTTAAAATCACATTGTAACAATCTGACTACTATTTTTTCCGTATTTTTTTTATCACAAATGAATACTGATGTCTCATCGTGTTACAAAAACATATAACATCACACTAAATCCATTATATCAATATGTATTTTCACCATATTTTACCATTTTTTGTCTTTCACATACATGACATCAGTACAACATTGCACTATTTTATTCAAATCATCATCCCCGAGGGAGTCACATAGCAACAAACCATCATTTATATCATAAAATATCAACATCCCAAGTGGATCACAATAATATCATATCAATAGCACGATGGTATCTCAATAACATCTTAACGATATCTCAATGATATCATAAGAATATCTCAAAAACATCACAATAGTAACTCAACAAAGTCACAAGAGTGTCTTAATACTATCACAATAATATCAAAAATAGTACCTCAGTACATTGTAACGATATCTTAGTGATATCACAAGAATGTCTCAATAACATCATATCAATATTTCAATAATATCACAAGAGTATTTCAATAGTATCACCACAATATCCCAACGATCTCTCGATCACATCACAATGATAT